CAGTCCCCCCTGCTGACCCCTGCTACCCACCAGCAGTGCTCCCTGCCCACCGCGGCTGCCGAGGCAGGACAGGGACATCAGCTAGTGTCAAAGAGAATTTTCCTCTCCCTCCCCTCCCAGCTTTCATTATAAGCCCCGTGGGACAGGGAACTATTTGCTTGGTTCCAAGCACAAAAATAAGTTCTGCTTATGTTAAATTAATATCGAAAGAAGTTCAACAAGCAGAGCTCCTGTTTCCTTTGCAAAATCCTACCCCCAGCTTCACCCCAGAGGAAATGTTCTCCAGGAACATTTGCTTTACAGCGAAGGAAAAGCTGACTTACCTGTGGTTCGACCAGCCAGCTCTCCTGCTCGTTTTGGGCTGGCTTTGTATACTTAAAAGCTGAATAAAGAGGGATTTTGTCCTTAGTACTGTAGAGGGTCGCAAAGCGCGGCTCTTTGTTGTACTGCTGACAGATTTTCACGTGGAACGGTTCGGTAAATCCTTCAGGTGGGATCTGTCCAGGGAAGAACACATTACATTCAGCAAAACCAGTTTCATCCTCTCCAACAACTCTGCCCTGGGAAAAGCCTGGGAAAACTGAGACACAAAGCAAAAATACAATTGACGTCTTCATGGTCCACTCCCTGGAGCTGAGGGAAGCCCCGTCGGCCTCCGCTGGGTACGGCAAAGGACCTGTGCTCTGAGTCCATGCAGCAGCGCAGCCAGAAAGCGTCTGGAATTCGGGTGTAGCGTGCGAGGGAAATGAAATGTGAAACCAGAGCCGAGCCCTTCGGGCAGGCAGCGCGTTCTGCAGGCAGCGCGTTGGGAAACCGAACGTGCGCCAAGCTGCGCTGACACACGCTGCCGAGGCCAACTGCCCGCAGGAAATAATGCCGAGCAACCTGAAATCATCCGGGCTCGGTGGGAAGAGGAGGAGGGAAGCCTACGGCCGCGCAGGGCTGGAGCTGAGCGGCAGCGGCTGTCCAGGCTGGGGCTCAGCGCCGGCGGGGGTGTGGTGTGCTGCATTGCAGCACAGTCCCCGGCAGGAATTTTGGCTGACGCAGCCAGAAATCTTCCTGGGGCTGCCAGGGGGATGCTGCAAAGTCAGATTCACCACCCCAAAGAAGGTGTTAGCTGCTCTCTCCGGCCGTGAGCCTGGCTAAGGGAGAGGGAAAGGAAGAGGGAGAGGGAGAAGAGAGACGGCAGGATATTGTCACTGCTGGGAATCCACTTTGCCCCTTTTTGGGGTGTCTGTCACCACTGTTGCTGACAGCCACACGCTGCTAAGGTGCCTGGGAAAGGCCTTATCCTCCCATCTCTGTGGGAGCTGTAATGGACATCCAAAACCCTCCTGTGGAGCAGTGTCACCTCAGCTCAGCAGACCTTCCATCAGGAGAGATTAACAAGAGGCAGAAGGATGAAGACCCTCGGCTTACAAACCCCAAATCAACATCCACCTCTGAATATTTTGACTAAACCTGTAGAACTAGCAAAAAAAATAAATTCTAGCTAAAAGGAATGAAACTGCTCCTCTGAGTTTATGATCAGCAGAGCTACTGCTGGGGAGTATTCCTGCATTCCTTCAGTGACTGGGAAAATTAATGTTTTCAGAATAATGAGGATGGGGAGTCCAGGGGAGCTCCTCAGAGTCAAGAAAATGTGTATTTTCCCACCCAAGAAGTTAGATATGATCAGCTGTGTTGCCAATAATTTAAAAAATCCTGGGTGCCAATAAGGCACAGGTCCCTTTTATAATGTGATTTCCAAGGAAAAATCTCCAAGTGCTGACCAACCCACAAGTGCGCTGCAGACGAGGTAGGAGTATACTATACTGCAGATGATGAAATGGGACAGCGGGTGGGTAAAGTGCCTGCCCAAGGCCAGAGAAGGAGCCTGTAAAAGCACTAAAAATAGACTAGACTCTAAGACTATCATTCCTCTACTCAGAGATGACTTCGAGAAGCATCAAGGCAAGGAAATACGTCAGGACCTCTTGGTGTGGTGTTATCAGCTCTGGGAGACAGAGGCGGGCTGGACAGGCTGGGGAACAACAGGAAATGCAGTAAGTGAGCTTGGTTTGGATCCAAGCAAATGCCTGGTCACCCAGCCCTGACAGAAAGAGTTAGTCATGTTCAGGAAAGATGGTGGAAATGAAAGCACAGACACAGCATGACCTGAAGACAGCAGCTCAAAGAGACAGACTTAAAAATCCATTTTTGGATGTAAAAGGCTCTTGGGAAATTAAGAACTGAAGCTAAACCTTAGCTATTAAGACATTTTTCTGATCCCAGGCTTGCAATTACCTGGGCAGCAGAAGAATATATTTTTACAAGCACGGTAAGCCCCGCTCCCCAGGCAAACCTGGGCCAGGTGATGCCTTTAAACACCCCACTCCAAGACTGACACGCATCACCCCAGGATAGGCGTGGTCCCAATCGAAGGAAAAGGATGATGGGCATAACAGTGACCAGTGTGCTGAGCAGATCCCTGACTTCCACCAGGAGTATCTTGCCTCTGTCCTGGACCTGCGTATCAACCTCCTGCCTCAAAGTGGCACCTCTGCCTCATTGGATGCACAGCCCCAAGCTGTTTTATGAGCCTCAAGAGCTTCTTATCTGCTTTTTGGAAACTCTGAGCACCTCTTTCCTTTCAGGCTGTGAGGCTGGGGTCTGCCTGCCTATTTACCTCTGTATTTAGCAGCAAATGGATAACCCTTGACTCAGCCTGAAGAGCAAGAGCCTCAGGCTCTCATGTCCCATGAAGAGCATCAGTATGAAAGCCAGCACAGAGTTCCACTCCTCTACTCCCAATCCCATTTTCTCTACAAATGAGGTTCCTCTTCAGTTTCTATCTAATTTAAGATCGCCCTTGAATGTGGAGCTGTATATTTTTTTTCTGTTCTTGCCAAGAGACTGGTGTTATCATCATGGTGTGGCACTCACTGCTCTGAGAAGATAAAGGCCAAAGGACTGCCCTGCCCCGGCAAGATCACACTCTCAGCCAAGGGATCACAGCCAGAGGAGTCAAACAGTGAGATGGAGTTGGTCAGAGGTTTTGAGGACTCAGTGCTCCAGCACCTTACCTGCTATCACAGGCTTTTATAGGCATCACGGGGAGTGGCGCCTATAGGCAGCAATAGGGAGTGATGCCTATAGGAACTGATGCCAAAGGGAGTATTAAGATCAGATCCAAAACAGCCCTACGGCTGTTGATGTGAGCAGAAGGGCTCTGGGAATATGCACATTAGGTTGGAAGTGGGCAGTGTGAGCTGCTGGTGGCCACATGGCCCTGTGGAAGCTGGAGCTGCCTCCTCCAAACCCACCGAGAGGTGACAGTGCAACAAAGCCAGCGGTGCCAGCAGAGCAGGCAAGCACCTGAGGTTTGATGTGATGGAGGAGAGGGAGCCCAGGGAAGATGCAAAGAAGCAGATGATGTGGTCAAAGGGACACGTGAGAAAAGTGACCTCTCAGTGGCAGGCAGAGGTGTGTGGTAGGACAGGAGAGACTGTAGGCAACAGACTGTATGGACACAGAGTTTGTATGGCATACCAGACATAAAGTGTGTTGGGGAAGAGAGATTAAAGACAGAGAGACTGCAGAGAGGGAAGGGCAAGAAAAGAGGTAAGGATCCAGGAAATGGTGTTGACCAGGAAGAAAAGGAGGATATTGGGCAAGTATTAAAGTTGAGAGGGATCTGTATTCCCTAAAAACTGGGGTACTAAGGAAAGGTAAAGAAGGAAAATAAATGGAAATAGGTGTAAGGAAGCCCAGGAAGCAGATTGCAGTGGATCAAGTGAGGAGATGAGAGCAAGCTGGGGAAAGCTGTCTCCTTCTGAGATACAAACATGAGGAGAAAACATTAGGAGGAAGAGGGGGAAAGGGAAATGAAAGGAAGTTTTCATCCATCTTCATTGACCTGACATGGATGACCAGTCCCCCTCTTCCCCAAGGGTCTCAAGCATGCAGACCAATGTCTCAAAGAACAGAACACCTCCCCACAAAACAAACCTGAAAAGCATGCCAGCATCCAAACCCTTTAGCCACAAAGAAGCTGCCAGGGTTATCTGCCTGCTTTCCCACACTGTGCCTCCTGCCCTGTCTCTCTGTTCACATGGCTGACACTGGATTTGCTACAAATAAAATCTTTCTCTTCACATGCCTGACCCTTCTAGTCTAGGCTTTCAAAACATTCTTGACTCCAAATATTTTTCCAGGCCGGATCTTCTGTCTCCTACCACGACTTCTGGGCAGGACCCCAGTGCTGTATGTGACTGTCCCATTCTTTGGAGAAGGAAAGGAAAAAGAAAGTGTCTCCAAGGGCAAGCAGTTCCACTGGAGAGATGCCATCTGATTCAGTGGAGATACCAAAGATTGGGCTTGGAGCATGGCAGTGCCAGCAGACATGCTATGGCATGTCAGAGAGCACATCTGCCTCTTCACTGTCTCATGGGGAAACAGCCTCTTTTTAAAATTAGCTCAAAAACTTGGTCTGGGAAAGGAGCCCAGTGCTGAGCTAGGGAGAAAAGCAGGAGTGAAACCATTTTCCTGCTAAAACTAAGAGATTCAAGGGCCAGGAGAGCAGAAAGACACTAAAATAGTCAGGAAATTGCTTAGCAACATGCTGTTGGGATTTCAATTCCTACCTTAAACCAGGTTTTGATGTCAGTCTCTGCTGCCTACTTGTTAGGTGTTCACACAGATGTCTTTACATCTTCCCCAAGGTGCCCCTTGTGCTGGTGATGAATGGCCCACCACAGATGTTGCTTTGTTGTTCACCACCTGCTGTGATGCTCACAAAGAAGGGTGGGCCAGCAAGAGGCCACTAACCACATGAAACTGCCAGGGATGCTGATCTGGCTCCTCTGCATCCTCACTTGCCTTTCCACGCTCGTGGTCTCTGTCCACAGCACTCAGTGGATGCCTCGAAGTGGTGTCACAGCTGAAATTAGAAGAGAAAAAGATGGGGAGGTTTAAAACATGAAATGATGGAGGAGGTTGTCTGTGGTGCACAATCAGAGGAAGACGGAAGACTGGGAACAGTGAAGCACCCAAACATGTTGCTGTCTGGGCAACAACGTCATTGGGACAGGGACTGGTTCTGGGTTTGTACAAAAACTTGCACAGTGAGAGTCTGACAGGGACCCTGTAAACCACCAAGTATGAATGCATTGCATAAATACCGGATAATATTAATAAAATCCAGAGGCTACATCCTTTCACCATTTATCACAGCCTTCAGACTCTGCTGACCTCCAGGCTGTTAGAAACAAGCACAACGATGATCCTGTGCTTGACAGCAGAAGTAGGATAGATTTACATTAGCAGTAGAAAGAAATTTTTTTAATAGTGAAAATGATTAACTATAAAAATGAGTTATTTAGAGACGAGATGAAAGCTCCAACACTTTCATTCTTTAGATGAAGAGATGGGGTTTTTACACAATAACAACTACAATAAAAGAACTGATGCCTCAAATGTAGTTTTACAGATTGTCGGTTGGTCAGAGTCACAACAGTTCTTCCCCACCTTAAATCTGTTTTGGACAGGAAAGTTACTCACTTGCATGCTTTTCTTCTCGGTATTATTACTGACTTTTTAGTATTTGTTATATTTTATCTTTTCAAAAGTGCAGTGTGATTCAGTCAATGCTGAGAGCTCGCCGTTCTAGCTGCTGCCTGAAAACAAGGTGTGAGACAGCTCCTGACAGTCTGCATTGACAGAAGACTGATGAGTGGGAACAAAATTAGAGGTACAGACTTGTTAGGCTTGCATCATCTCAGAGAGGGAAC